GCAAAATTTCTGACTGGTCCCGCCCCCATCAATTCTCTGCCTCCCGAGTCCCAGCTGATCGGGAGGAAATGGGGATTTTGCAGTAACCTTCCCCTAGAGTGGGGTGGGAATGGCGATTTTACAGCATCCTTTCCCTGCCACGCCCACCAAGCCATGCCATGCCCACCAAGCCACATCCACAGAACCGCTAGTAAAAAAATTTGAAACCCACCACTGAACCTGACCAAAGAGGGGCTGAATTTGTACCAGACTTTTTATTGATGTGTTGGCGACAGGGAATTGCACCAATAATTTGTGGTGCAAATCTAGCTATTATGATTTCTAAGTGAAGGTTTCTATTTTAGCAGGTTTATGAACCCAGCTTTATTATTATTATTTTAATTAAAGGGTAGTTAAGCAACCAAGTGGAAGGTGTGAACCAGTGTTGGGTTTCAAATTTTTTTACTGCCGGTTCTGTGGGTGTGGCTTGGTGGGCGTGGCTTGGTGGGCATGGCAGGGGAAGGATACTGTAAAATCTCCATTCCCACCCCACTCCAGGAGAAGGATACTGTAAAATCTCCATTCCCTTCCAATCAACTGGGACTTGGGAGGCAGAGAATAGATGAGGGCGGGGCCAGTCAGAATTTTTACTACCGGTTCTCCAAACTACTCAAAATTTCCGCTACCAGTTCTCCAGAACTGGTCAGAACCTGATGAAACCCACCTCTGGTGTGAACCCAGTTCTAAACAGAAGGAGACATGTTAGTTAGAAAGTCTGGGTGATACTGATGAATAAGCCTTGTCTTGTTATGACATTTGATATTTTAGGTCTCAGTCCTGCAACCACTAGGACACTGCCACAAAACTGCAATAGTTGCTCCCATCCTACATACGCATACATTTCATGTGATCACAAACCAATTATCCCAGGAAACTTGACCCTGTGAGGGATGAAATACTTTAAAGCTGTATCTTGGGTTTTCCCCCTCAGCAATAAAGATGAGTTAACAGCTTTTCTTGGCCCAAAGAGGAGGTGTATAAATTACAACCACCGAAACCTTGGGTTAAGCAAAGACAACTTGATATGATGCCTAGCTCTTGGCCTTCTCCCGGGGGAGAAAGATGGCCAGGGCACTGCAAGGAAAAAAGGGAGGAGGGGAAAAATTAATGGGAGGTGTGCTCAGAGAATGAATGAATGTGTATTACAAATCCGTCTGTGCGCCTTTGGGGAGCAGAACAAAGAGTGTTAATTCTGCTTTTCTGTGCCAGCGTGTGCATGCATGTATTTAGGGAGAATTTACTGCTTGTATGTAAGCTGGGGGTTTCTTCAGGAGTATCTGTGTGGATTCTAACAATGAGAATGAGCTCAAGAGAAATGTTATTGTTTACTTTGACATGGGCCACTCTATAGTAAGTTTTGGCTCCTGAGTTCAAATTCTGCCTCATGCCCCAGATTCACTGGGAGTCAGTCTCAGTTTTCTTGTCTGTAAAATGGTGGCTTTTCTCAAACCATCTTTAGGATATGGCAGAGGCAAGCACAATGAAGACTGTACAATGTTATGTAATTTAATAGGGACAAGATCACCCAGTGCAGTCTTATGCATATATATGTCTCATGGGACTTCCTAATAAAAGGCCAATGCTTGCAGCGCTGATGTTGCCGTTATTACTACCATTATTGTCATTATTAGCCATATCATAACGAAGCCATTTCTCTCCCCTGCCCCCTCTCATTCCTTGAATAGCTTGCAAGTGTTATGTTGCAAATCTGGACAGCTATTACTTCCTACGTACTTTAAAGGAACTCATCTCACGGCTGAATAAGCAAGTTAGTTTTAAATGGAAACACAGCTTCTCGGTTCCACTGGATGATTGGCTTCCATACAGCTCTTTGAAATATTTCATTCAACGCTGTGTGTATGGAATCCAATGGCAAGTATAATAAACTTACTCTGTGTAGGAATGTCCTCAAGGTTTTGGACAATGGACAGGTGGAAGACTTTTCTAACTGCAGATTTCAAATCACTGAATTAAGCAACAGCAACAAATTAAAATATGAAGCTTCAGTTTGCTTTATGTTATACTTAAACCCTACTTAAATATCAAGTATGAAAAAGGGCCATGAATACCAGCCCTATTCCTTCTAGTGGTGTCACTGGATCATCCCTACAACTTTTGTGGCTCTTTTGATTTTTTTTTTTAAAGTCCTTAGGCTATAATAGGCTATATACAGGCTATAATACTAGGCCTTAGAGGACTAGTGCAATGGATGCCTCCCTCAGCTTGGGATCACCAAATTGCTACCCAGGCTTGTAGGTTTTTTTTAATGCATTGATGGGTGTGTTTGTCCTGCCTTTCTCCTTCAAGACATTAAAACAGTGTCTTGATTTACAACATCCTTCCTAAACTAATATTATAATAATGTCAGGTGTTTTTTCCCCAGAACTGGGAATTGGTGTAGAGAAAAATCCATTGATAAACCAGGGAACAAATATAGTCCCCAAATCAGCTACAGTCCTGATTTTGGGAACTTTTTAAATAAGGAAATTCTCTCCAACCTGATAACCTTCTGAAGGGTTAGGAGTATAGCTCCTCTAAAGTCCATCCAACCTGACCCATTCTGCTGCGCTAGACTTCTAGCAGCAGTTACCTCAACTCAGAGGCCCCAGAACAGAAAGGCCTGGCAAAATTGGCTCAACTTATGGATGTTTGACTTTTCCTACTTCAGCCTTAAACTGGTTGACTCTCATGCTTAACCCAGCTGGAAAGGAATCTAGATTTAAAATTCCTTTTCTGAATTTCAACTCCTTCCTCCTCGTTGGTCCTAGAGAGGGCTTGATGGTCTATATGGAGTGTGTTTACTATGTTACCTAAAACCTTACTATGTTACCTACCTGCTTCTTTATACTTTCTATTCATGCACTGCACTAATCACATTCCTAATCACTAATCACATTCCTTCCCATACTTGGGTCTTTGAAGATACGGGGATCCCACTGATAGACTTTTATATGAATTCCCTCTGTTGACATCCTTTATCTAGGAAGGGAGGGAGGGAGGGAGGGAGGGAGGGAGGGAAGGAAAGAAGGGATTAAATTTATTATTATTCCTGACAGAGTAGCTAGAAGGGGAAATTGTCAGTTCTTTCAATTTCACCTAATAAAAACTTCACATGCCTTCCTCCAGGATTTCACTCCTCCAGCAGCCCAGGATCAAATGGCTGTAGAGGACAAGGATCACTGACATTCCTGCCATAGCAAACCGTGGCCAATAGGAAGGTCAGTGTTTGCTACAATTAAATGAAACACAGGTGACTCAGACTCCCCGCCCTTTTTATTTGCATAAACACTACTTTTAATGTATGGCAGAAAATGACAGGCAGGGGTTGCTTTTCTTAATGAGCTGAATGCGAGTAAAGGATGGCATTGTACATCCCTGTCTTCACAAAAGTCCCAATTAATTTGGGCAGCTCACAACAATCCCTCTTCCATTCAACCTGGTAGATCTAAATTCAATATCCCTTCTGTGAAGAAAATCCCTAGATGACGTTAGGTGACTCAATTGTACTTAATCTTATAAAGATTTTTAATTAGTAGAAATGGCTGGGAAAAAAAGAATAGCACACACATATGCATACATACACACACAGAAGATATAAAATGAACCTGCTTTGGTGCATTTTTATTTTATTTAGCGTATGGCAAATACATGGATTTATAGTGGTTCAGATGTTAATGTCCAGGCTGGGCGAATTCAGAGTGTGGTGGAGCAGATGGTCGAAAGACTGAGAGCGCTTTCTTGATGGTAGTTGAGTGCTCTTTCACCCTTGGGGCTTAAGAAGGTCCGTTTTGTTTACCCGTTGCCATGTATTTAGAGAGCAAGGAATTCTACAAAGATGTCCAACTGCCAACTGTTGTTAACTGCCAATTCTTCAATGTACTGTGGCTGCCAATTGTTGCTAGTCATTTGGTTCACACTACCGTCCTATCCCGCGCCAAAGAATTGAGGCCTTTGAACTATGGTGCTGGAGAAGACTCCTGTGAGCCCCTTGGACTACAAGGTGATCAAACTGGTCAGCCCTAGAGGAGATCAACCCTGACTGTTCTTTAGAAGGCCAGATCCTGAAGATGAAACTCAAATATTTTGGCCACCTAATGAGAAGGAAGGACTCACTGGAGAAGAGCCAAATGCTGGGAACGATTGAGGGCAAAAGAAGAAGGGGATAACAGAGAATGAGGTGGCTGGATGGAGTCACTGAAGCAGTAGGCTTGATCTTAAATGGACTCCAGAGGATGGTAGAGGACAGGAAGGCCTGGAGGAACGTTGTCCATGGGGTCGCGATGGGTCGGACACGACTTCGCAATTAACAACCACAACCATGCTATCCAGGGTGCACCACAAGGAGGTACACTAGCATCACACCCCTTTGGTGCATTAAACAGGGTTTAGGACGAAGCTTCGATAGAGCTGCAACACGCCAGATGGACACTAGGTGGCAGCAATTAGACCTTGTCGCTTCTCTTGCCACCCATCCAATGGTAATCTAGAGGTTTGCAGCTATGATAGGTAGCTCCACATAAGAAACCTAACTTTAAGACATCCCGCTAACAGCACTTCTATCCACCAGTCAACTTGGCGAATAACCTTCGGGAATGTACTCATAAGCAAAACAAGTTTAATAGTTGCTGGTTCGCCCGAGAGCGACACCTGCTGAAATTAAAAGAGAAAAGCGCCACCAGCGGTCCTTCTCTCCTCCATAGCAACGGCCATACAAATATCTTCCAATGCTGCCACCTTTGGGAGGCGATGCTTCAGAACGATTTGAAAAGCGAATTGTCACATTTTCCGGCAAGAGGCGAGCCGCGAAAAATGTACCGTAACGCTTCCGGTCGATTAGAACAGGAACCTTCCGTGCAACCACCCAAGCCGGCAGATGGCGCTGTCACATTATTCAAGGCCATTCTCCCCACTTGCATTTTCCCCCCCCCTTGGCGTGATGGGCGCTCCAGCCGCCTTAGCTCTTTCCCCGCAGAAACCGTTTCCGGGCGGCTTTAAGGCCCTAGAGTCGTCCTTCCGCTAGCGCATGCGCGGAAAGCGGTCCTTCTCGCTCTCTTCTCCTGAGCAGCAGGTAGGGTCGCGGAGCCCTGGTCTTTATGGTGTATGGGAAATCCTCTCTCTCTCTATCCCCCTCCCCACGTCCAGCCCCCCCTCCCTCGCCTGCTTCACCCCGGCCGGCCTTTTTTTTTTTTTTTGCTTCGCTTCTTTTGCACTCCGTTCCTCTTGAAGGGGTGCACGGTGGGGTCAAGCGGGACGTGCACAGTCTCGGCGGGACAAGGGGGCGGAGCTTGCGGTGGGCGGAGCCACCCTTGGGAATGATCTTGGCTGGAGGTGTGGGCGGGGCTTCGCGGCTTGAGAATATTCCTTATCCTTCCCCCCCCCCCCCAATAGAATCCGCATAGAAATCTACGAGGTTGCGGGTGTCGGCAACGGCAACGGCGCGAGCGTCCTTTGCAGGGGATGCCTCGCAAAGCTGACGCGCCATGACAGAGCAGCCCCAGGGTGACCCTAAGCTCGTCCTTCATGAGGCCTGCCAAGCCCCCTCAAGGTTGCTGCCTGCCAGGGTTTCTCAACAACAACAACCCCCCCCCACACACACAATTTTAAAAAGAAAGCTGTAAAATCAAGCTCCGGTATGGTCTTCGTTACCGTTTCCAGTGCAAACCCTCCTTATATCCCCAAAGGTTTTTTTTTTTTCTTTCTTCCATGAGGCAACTGGACTTTCTGATTTTTTTTTCTTTGAAGACGTTTCGCTTCTCATCCGAGAAGCTTCTTCAGCTCTGGGGAAGCTTCTTGGACGAGAAGTGAAATGTCTTCAAAGAAAAAAATCAGAAAGTCCAAGTTGCCTCTTGAAGAAAAAGGAGGGGGAAAAAAAGCAACTTTGGGACAACCATGACCTGGATGACTTGAGAATTTCTATAGACAAACCCTCCATTTGTTGTTTCCCAAGGAGAATGCCCCACTATAAATAAAGGCACCAATAAAGGAGAATATTTGCAGCTCAGGGTTGACATGAGGGGGTCCTTGGTGCTCTCTGAGCTTGCTTGTTTTCTTGCAGAGTTTTCATTACCCTAACTAGATAACATCATTGCTAATAAGGAGTGCTGTTTGCTACCAGAATATAAATTGACAGCAAACAGTACTCCTTACTACCGTAGCACTGATGATGTTACCTAGTTTGGTGAAACGTCTGCAAGAAAACAAGCATGGAGAGCACCAAGGACCTTTCAAATAAAGGCAGAAAGTTTTGCCCCCTGCCTAAGTTCTGAAATAGGGGAGAAGAAGGTACAGGTAGTCCTGTGATTTATCACCATAATTGAGCCCAACATTTCTGTCCTTAAGTGAGACATTCGTTAAGTGAGTTTTGCCCCATTTTACAATCTTGCCACGGTTGTTAAATGGATCACTGCAGATGGTTAAGTTAGTAACATGGTGGTTAAGTGAATCTGCCTTCCCCATTGACTTGGCTTCTCACAAAGTCACAAAAGGGGATCACATGACCCTGCGATACTGCAACCATCAAAAACCATCAGCACAAAGTCTCTCTTGTAATCTCCACTGGGTATTCATCGATAACCTTTTGGTTTATTCCACAGCCTCTATTATTTCTTGAATATCTGCTTTTCTCCTTTTTCCACCCCTTTAGCATAGGTTTAGTTAAGTTCAGGTTGATAAGATTTACTTTTTTCTGGCAATTGGCAGGAAAGTTGCTGAAATAGAATAAAAAGGATGCATTGAGTTACCAGATTCAAAGCCCAGGACTATATTGAGATTGATATAGATTAGATATAGATATATCCCACTTTCCATTTAGGAGGTCAAGACAACACACTTAGTACTCTCTCCTGCCATTTTCCCCACAACAAAAACCTAGTGAGATAGGTGGGGCTGAAATAGAGTGGCTAACATAAAGTTTCCTCATAAACTGAGATTTAAGATGAATAAGAACCTGCTGTACCTCAGCCGCTTACACCACCACAATTTATTAGGATTTATAGCCTGTTTGTCTCAAAGGTGCTTTTCCAAAAGGCAATTAGACTTCCTTGTTTTTTTCTTCGAAAATGTTGCACTTCTCATTCAAGAAGAACCTTCTTCAGTTCCATAGACATCGCAGCCTATTTGCAAACAAATCTGTTCTTGTTTCCTTATTTCAGCAGTATAATTTAACACGAGTAGAAGTATCTTTGTTGTTACTATTAAATAATCTGTCTACCAGATCTGGTAGTAAAGATTTACTAACAAAATAATGTATCATCACCAAGAGATCTTTTAGATGATTCAGTTTAATTTTTGCTCAATCCTTGCTCTAGCAGACAAATCAGGAAATGGGCTCCCTTTTCCTATTTGCATTTGAAAAAGATTCACTGGGGTTATAAAAATCTTGACAACAATAAGATTTTTTGTGTGCTGTTAGTAATACTTTCTGAAAGATTCTTCAAGTAAGATAATGTATTTCACCTTTAAGTCCTCTGGTAAGTGCTGTATTGAAATATTCACAATAAGATAGACCTTAATTTTATTGAAAGTTGGTTAAGAAATTATGGGAGAACTATTAGCTTCTTCAGTTTTTCTGAATTAGCGCATATGAGAGTCTGTTGGGAAATCCTGAGTTTTTCATTTGCTTGTCTTTTAAAGATACTTGCTTCCTGACAAGTATTTTTATTTTTTATATATCATTTCCCCTTTTCTGCTAAGCTTTTTTGTTGTCTTTAACAGCAGCTTGTTCTGTGCATAATGAAAGTAATGAAGAATTTTTCTTTGTCAGTTCCTTATAATAAACCCCGCAGGAATCACTGTGGGTTATGTATGTGATCAAAACGGTTACTCTGTTCTGAATCACGCTAAGACAGTTAGCTATAAAGTAGGCTTATCCACAGGAGGGCAACTAGTATTTGATTGTAAACTGTGAATAAAAAATTACTCAATTATGGAAGTTATCATTGCTATTCCAATAAATGTATGTATTAGTGACTGATGATACAGTATAGTGTAAGCTACTTTTCCTATAAAAATGAATAAATCTTGATTTCTTCTGTCCCTCTATATATTGTTCATCCCCAAATAATGAAAAGCTTTACCTGATTTTTGCAGCTGAAGCTATTAGTTATAACAGGAGCAGATCAAGGCTGGTTTGCAGTTCTTCCTCCACATTTTATATCCCATAGATGTGGCAGAGGATTCTGGATCTGTAGTCCAGTTGCTGCCATGCAGTTTGAGTGTTTTATCGAGCGCATCTTTTTTCTTCTCTGAATCTCATGGCTGCTGCATTGAGAATAATTTGAAATACAGTCCACAGCTAATTTTTAGTTCTGGTCATCTGCTGTATATAATAGCAAGCTTGTTGGGCAGCTTATAAAAAAGCTATGCATAAAAAGAAATATTTTAGGGGGGGAAGGGAAGCACTTATTTCATATAGCCCATATAAATTATATTGATTTGAGATCACCATGCTCTGAATAATTCTCACAGGTACATCATGAATGCCAAATGTGCATCTGTGAAATATTTTCCTTGTAATAGTTGTTATGTGCTCTTGCTTGGAGCAATGTAGGGACAACACATAATTCAGTCTTATGCGTTATAAGACATCTGAATGCAGAAGCCACTTCTGGTGATGTAAATATCATACTTGACTATGTCTGTTCTATCTACAGTCTAAAGCACAGAACCCAGTTGCTGACATGCGTGTTTGGCATAAATGGGATAGTGCATTTCAAGCTTATAGGATCTTTTTCACTTTTCAAATTAAACCTGGTCACTCATCAACTAGAATCTGATTCAGATCCAGGGATGTTTTTGGTGTATGACAAATGAATGAAACATATAGTCCTTCTACACATACATAAATTCCACTTTCCCAAGCTTGCTTCATAAAAGCAAGGTGAGATGGAAATCTTATACTTGCTACTATTAAATAGTCAAGATTTAGAATGTCATACTGATCTGTTGTAAATCAAGTGCCAGATTTTATTAACTATAAAGTTAGCTGACATTTTAAAAATTGTTCCTTCATTTACAGTCTCCCTCTACTTCTGCAGTCTCAAAGCATTACATCTGAATATCTTCTAGAGGTGACTTTAGGTCCACCTCACATTGGCAAATGTTTAATATCTAGAATAGGCAACAAATTATTCTAGTAGTGTAATTTTAGAAATTTGTAAGGAATGTGTCATAAAATTCATGCTCCTGAATTTGGTATACTGTAAAATTCAAAACCTAATCTGAACATACCAAAAGAAACTTTAGATAAACTCTCTAAAGAAAAAAATATACTGGAATGTTTGACAAGCCAGTCAAATCTGGGAAGCCCAAATTGTGCTAATCAGTTCCCTTTATCGGGCAGAGAACATACTGTGTATTGTTTTTTTTTAAATCTTTTTCCATTGTATAATCTTTATATTATAAAGATACCTGCACAATTAGCACAGGAGCCCCCCCAGGTCTTGTGTTCTCTCCACTTCTCTATACACCAATGACTGCATCGCAAAAGATCCATCAGTTAAAATACTGCAGTTTGCAGATGATACAATAGTGATTGGTCTCATTCAAGACAACGATGAATCTGTATACAGATGGGAGGTTGAACAACTAGCCTTGTGGTGCAACCAGAACAATCTTGAACTAAGTACACTCAAAACCGTAGAAATGGTGGTGGATTTTAGAAGAAAACCTCCTATACAACCACCTCTTACAATACTAGACAACACAGTATCAACAATAGAGTCCTTCAAGTTTCTAGGTTCTATCATATCTCAAGACTTAAAATGGACAGCTAACATCAAAAACATCAAAAAAAACTCAACAAAGAATGTTCTTTCTGTACAACCTCAAAAAGCTCAAACTGCCCAAAGAGCTGCTGATTCAGTTCTACAGAGGAATGATTGAGTCTGTCATCTGCCCCTCCATAACTGTCTGGTTTAGCTCTGCAACCAAACAAGACAGACAACAGACTTCTACAGATAATTAGAACTGCAGAAAAAACAATTGCTACCAACCTGCCTTCCATTAAGGATCTGTATACTGCACGAGTCAGAAAGAGGGCTGTGAAAATATCTACAGACCCCTCACATCCTGGACGTAAATTGTTTCGATTTCTACCCTCAAAAAGATGCTATAGGGCACTGCACATCAAAACAACTAGACAAAAGGACAGTTTTTTCCCAAATGCCATCACTCTGCTTAATAACTAATTCCCACAACACTGTCAAATAATTTACTAAGACTGTATTACTATTATTCTTCTCTTCCTTACTAGTATCTATCTCTTTCCACTTATTACTATAACCATGTTGCTTGTATCTTTCAATTATATTGTTTTTATTTGTTTTTTAGTACGATTTGATAGCTTATTAGTAACCTTGACTATCACTAAGTGTTGTATCTTTTTATTCTTGATTAATGTATTTTATTCTCCTTATGTACACTGAGAGCATATACACCAAAGACAAATTCCTTGTGTGTCCAATCACACTTGGCCAATAAAGAATTCTATTCTATTCTATTTATTATTGGTGTCCTGTATAAATCATTCCTGATAGATCTTCCAAATATAGTACAGATAGTCTCTGTGTATCAACTGCTTTGTTTACCAACAATTCAAAGTTATGACAATATTAGAAACATAACTTTGCAAGCAATCTTATATTTATTACCATTGTAGCATCCTCTGGTTATGTGATCATCATTCCATTGCTTTACAACTCACATGCATTTACAGAAGTCGTAATGTCTCATAGTCACATTATTACCATTTGTGTGCTTTGCAACTCCATTGTGACAAGTAGAGTTGAAGAGAAGAGAAGAGAAGAATCTTTATTGTCACTTTGAATGCACACTAATCGGCATACATTAAAATGAAATTTCATTGCATACAACTCTGAAAGGGTCACCCTCCAAAATACACTACATAATCATGACAGAATAAACAAATATAAAATTATGCGTATACCCACATATATGACACAGAGAAACAACACAGTCTAGTTCGGATTTATACATGTACATGGCGAGAAAAATGAATCTTGCGAGTTTACCAGATGGATGGCATAGGAAACAAAGCTGTTAGAGAATCTGGTAGTCCTACTAGAAATAAAAGTTGGAAAGTGTGGTCAGAGAATATTTGCTTAATGACTGAAGGGAAAGTGAGTTCATAAGCCCATCACAATCACACTTAGCGATGGAGTTGCTGGTCCCAGTTGTATTTGCTAAGTGAGAACTACCCGTAGGTTTCTAACTTGTGAAAAGATAATGGAAGCTGTGAATATTTTGTCCTAATATCTTGGCATTCACTTTGTTTTCCAGTTCTTGAATGTTGCTGTTCCACACAACTCTGAATATGTACACTTGTGCAAAGTTGATTTCTGCCTCCACCCTGGTGAGTAAACTAAGATGTACTTTTGGAGTATTTTTTAATAGTGTGTAGGCTTTAAAAGCCATTGGCCATGTTGACAAGTATGTTAAAATCAATGAACTACAAAACTTGGAACTATGCAGTCAAATATGGACATATAGGATAATTTGTCCTGAAGATCCCTCTGAAGATTTCTTTTAGTTTTGACTCCTTATCCTCCTGATAAAGTATCTTAACAGCTCTTGCTGCAGAGCTATAAATTGGAGTGGGTTACAGAGGTGGTTTATGACAAGGGAATCATGCATATTTTAGTGTTCCTGTCTTTTTCTCCAAGAAACCCATTCTTCTTCCACTGTTTTTCCATGAGTAACATTTTCTGCCAACATCTGAATACACAACAGCCCTTTTTAAATAAAAAAGTTACATAGCTGATCATGTATGCTATATGCTTTTGGGTTTCCATCTGAGATACCTTGACTCTTCATTGCTATGATTATGTCACATTCTTTCCTGTATCACTACAAAGAACAGAATACAGTTAATTGAGCAGTTCATTTTTTTCTCTGCTGAAAGTTGCATCTCTTATCGGGGGCAGGCAAAATGGATGCGAGCAGCAGACTCTGGACTATGTTCTGTTTATCTTTTCCCAATCCTGTAGGTGAACTACTACAGATCTTTCTGAATTTCAGGAGTTTATAAATATCTTCCTCCTTCCAGTTTGATCTTTTGATAACTTTATCTGAAAATAGGTTCTACGTTTGAAGTTGGAATTATGATGGCTGTTCCCAATTTATGATAGGCCAGGAATGGGCACAGGGCTTCATTCAGCCCTGCAGCCTTAGACTTAGAATAACTTTATTGTCACTTTGAATGTTGCATACAGCTCTCAAAGGGTCACTACCTCCAATATATACTACATAACCATGCAGAATAAATAAATGTAAAATTATGCATAAGGTAAAGGTTCCCCTCGCACATATGTGCTAGTCGTTCCCGAATCTAGGGGGCGGTGCTCATCTCCATTTCAAAGCCGAAGAGCCAGCGCTGTCAGAAGACGTCTCTGTGGTCATGTGGCTGGCATGATTAAATGCCAAAGGCGCACAGAACGCTGTTACCTTCCCACCAAAGGTGGTCATTATTTTTCTACTTGCATTTTTTATGTGCTTTTTGAACTGCTAGGTTGGCAGATGCAGGGACAAGTAACAGGAGCTCACCTTGTTATGCAGCACTAGGGATTCGAACCACTGAACTGCCAACCTTTCGATCGACAAGCTCAGTTTCTTAGTCACTGAGCCACCACGACCCTTAAAATTATGCATATATCCACATATATATTATATGACACACAGAAATGACACAGTCTAGCCTCCCAAGATTGTGCGGTAGGTTGTACATTGAGTTGATGGATTACTGCAGTAATAGGTAGGATTAGAGAAGAACACTTTCCACTCTCTGCAGTTTGAACAGGCATAGTTCAAAAGATGGAGCAGCCCAACCTGTTCAGCTTAGGATGGTAGTCTGTCTAAATAAAGAATTCAGCTTAAGAATCTTATTTATGTTAAATAACTCTCTATTGCTTTTTGATTAATAATAATTTTTATTAAAGGATCCTTCCAATATATGCCATTTCTAATTTGGAGTGCCTTCTCCCAGGTTAAATTAAATTAAGATAACATTGAAAAAGTTCAACATCAATTGAAAGTGAGAAAGGGCTTGTTCTTCCCAAGTGGAACTACCCAGTGCTTTGTTTTCTTTTCCATTAATGCAGGGGTGTCGAACTCAAGGCCCAGGGGCCAGATTCGGCCCACAGGGTGCTTAGAACTGGCCCACAGGGCCACACTGGAAATAGGGAAGGACTGGCCCGCGGGGGCTCTGCCAGTGAAAGCAGAGCTCACGAGGGCTGCTCGTGGGCCCCCCCCAGCTCCATTTTCACTGGCAGAGGTTTGCAGGAGGCCGTCGCAGCTGAAAACGGAGCTTGGGAGCCCGTTTTCGCTGGCAGAGCGCTTGGGCCACCATCTCTTCCCCCTGACACAAGTGATGTTATGCTGGCCACGCCCTGTCCCCGCCCCCGCAAGTGAAACGGCCCTCAATGAAATCGAGTTTGACATCCCTGCATTAATGGCTCAAATAGGATAACAATTATGCCTAATTCACAGATTCTAATTACTGCTGGTTCTTCAGATAATGATCTACGAAATCCAGGAATTTAATTTACATTACATTTACATTAAATTTTTCCTTAGTACTTGCTGCTGAGAATAACAGTAAAATTCCAAAGCCCAGAGGGGTCCAGCAGGACATTTTACCATTGTTTATACCTGACAAAATACATTGCGCAAACTAAAAACACAAACTAGCTCATTTTATTTGCATGAGTTCGTACAAATTGCAAGTATTGTATTACTTATATTTTAGCCTTTTTTGTTTTGATTGTAATTTGAACAAGTCTAAATGTTTTGATGTGCATATAATACACAGCCATAAACTATGGTTTACAAATCAAAATTGTAAATATGTGGTTTACACCACATATTAAATCACCATGTTGACCCCATTACCTTTTAACTGTTAGGATTTTGCCTTTACATTTAGAATGTGCTTGGCGAGGAAGCTTGTTTTACCAGTGGAAGTTTTGTTTCTCTTCTGTAATGTGTTTTTTTTTCTTTCTTTCTGCAGGTGAGGAACAGTTCTACGGTTTTGTGTAGACCTCTCTCTGCTTCTGTGCTGAACAGACCTCAGATCAGGACGGATAAGGTAAGTTAGGATCTCCAAGAGAGATAGATTTTGAATCTTCTCAGCATTTTTCTTATTTGTCCTACCAAGTTTCAGCAGGCAAAAGCTTGCTATAACTTTAACCAGGGATGCACAAAAGCAGTTGTTCAATTCAAGCAGGCCAATGCAATTATTCCAATCAATACTGAAAGCTTTCAGATCATCCCTAAAATAGTCAGATTGTTATCAATGAGAATATTCCAGAATTCTCCAGAACATTCTGCCCCGAGAATATTCAGCACTGCGCATCACTAGTATCAATGAATAAGCTATATTGGAGCATTCTGTGTCAAAGTGGGAGTAATGATTCTAGAAGAATATAACAAGGCTTTTATAATTCAGATTAAGATACGGGAATAAATGCGGCTAAAAGACAATGGGAGAAAAAGGGAAGAGTGCAGTTCCTGCAGGCTTTAACTCGTGGGTTTTTCTTACAGGCAGAAACACACATCCCTACAATACAGGTAGAACAAAATTGGGCCCAGAATACAAAATCATAGCTCAGAGTCAGACTGATCCTTGAAATAATTCAACAAAAAACACATTAATGTGTGTCTGTCTGTCTTACCATTTGCTATGGCTATTTTATTCTGTTTCTCTAGTCATTCTCCAGGTTGGAAGGTTTGAAGCAGGTTGAAGCAGGCCTGGGAAAAGACCCTGTCTCCTTCTATGATGAAAGGCAAAATGGCATTCCTTTGTCCTCTTTTATATAGCCTACCTGAGGGGAATTTTGCTGCTCCTGATTGGTACTTCAAAGTTTGATTGCCCTGAGTCTCTGCCCACTCTCTGGAGTGATTGCTTTAGGTTTTATTGATGCAACAGATATAAATTTTCCTCTCTTCGTTCATGTCTGAGTTTCTTGAGGTAGGGTTCTTCCTCCTCGTCTTCCGTTGAATTGGCTCTGCTAGATTTTTTTTAAGATTATACAAGCAGCAGCAATAGAACAGTATTCATTTCCAAATAGATATCTTGTAAAAAACAAAAATAAAACCAGCAACAAATCACTAGAGGGCCTTGGGATGCTACAAGACCATCTCTCTATAATATTAATTAGGTCTGCAGATGATTATTGAATTTGTTAAGGTTTGAATCTTTTTACCTTTGGAGCTTACTTGGAATTCTTCCATTTATTCCTCCTCACCACTGGGAGACGCTAAGGCCAGTGCATTTAGTTCAAACTTTGGAACTGTTAATCAGCTTTGAGAAATTATCTCCATCAGTTCCTCATTCATGTATTGCTTTAATCTTGTAAATTCTAGATTGGTTCCTAGATGGGGATCAGCAGTTAAATGCAGTGTACTTCATAGTCACAGAGACATTTGAATCTGGGTCTTATCTAGAGGTGGGTTCTACTTACCTTTACTACCGATTCGCAACGGGACCGCACATGTGCAGATCACCCATGATGACGTCATGGTGGGTGGGCGGAGCCTCCCACCAGTTTTACTACCGGTTCTATAGAACCGGCCCGAACCAGGAGCAACCCACCACTGGTCTTGTTATATGATTCTCTATGCCAGGTTTAGACGGTCTGATACTCTCCATAAGGCTTGTACGGTAAGAACAACAGCACCCTGTGTTGCCTGGAGCCGATGAAACAGATTGCCTACCTTTTCTTTGTAATTAGAATGGCCCAAATCGCGGTAATTGCCCCCTGCCAAAATTTACAGCCACTGTCAAACCAAGCTATGAATTGGTTTTAACTGTGCTATATTTGGAAATGCACTATAATCTGACTAAAATGATAACAAACATCAACAGCCAAGATTGGTTAATGGCTGCGGGCCATGCTGATTACTTCAAAGTTACCTTTGGTCACCTCCTGTTTCAGACCTTTGCCTTTTTACACCCCACCCACCACCCACTCCTGTTTCTTATTTGCTCCTAGCCCTGCTGCCTTTCGGGTGCTCAGCATGAAGTCTTGCCGCTGCTGCATCGGCAGTTCCAAACGAGCGCGGTGTCCAGAGACATAGATACTGCCGCCAAGTTTATTGGTGCTGGTGCTGCAACCGTGGGTGTAGCTGGCTCTGGTGCTGGCATTGGAACAGTGTTCGGCAGTCTCATCATTGGCTATGCCAGGTATGGGAGAGTTTTACTTATGTCCTCATTTGTAGTGTCATTATGCAATGGCAAGGAATTATGGGATTTTCCTGGCTTTTAGTGCCCTTGATTTAACATTTGTTTAGCGACTGTTCAAAGAAGAATGGAATAGGAATGGAATTAGGATAGGGTAGGGTAGGATAGGATAGGATAGGATAGGATAGGATAGGATAGGATAGGATAGGATAGGAATAGAATTAATGGAATGGAAATGGAATAGAATGGAGATAGGATAGGATAGGATAGGATAGGATAGGATAGGATAGGATAGGATAGGAATAGAATTAATGGAATGGAAATGGAATAGAATGGAAATAGGATAGGATAGGATAGGATAGGATAGGATAGGATAGGATAGGATAGGATAGGATAGGATAGGATAGGATAGGATAGGATAGGATAGAAATAGAATTAATGGAATGAAATGGAATGGGAATAGAATGGAATAGGAATAGGAGTGGCATAAGGATAGGATAGGAATAGAATTAGAATAGGATAGAATGGAATAGGAATAGGAATAGAATAAAACTTTATTATCACTTTAAATATACATTAATCAGACTTTAAATATACACTAATCAGCATACATTAAAATGAAATTTCGTTGAATTCAGCTCTTAAGATAACTATTATGCATATATTGGCATACCCACACATAGGGTACAGCACTGAAAAAAGTGACTTTCAACCATTGCAACATCCCCATGGTCACATGATCAAAATTTATGTATTAATGACAATTGCAGGGTCCCAGAGTCATGTGATTGCCATTTGTGACCTTCCCAGTCAGCTTCAAAAAAAGCAAAATCCATGGGGGAAACTGCATTTGTTTAATGACCGCCTGAGTCACTTAATGATGATGGTGATTCATTTAACAATTGTGGCAAAAAAAAAAAGGTGGTAAAATAGATCATGACTCACTTAACAAACAACTTGATTAGCAATGGAAATTCTGGTCCCAATTGTGGTTGTAAGTTGAGGACCACCTGTAATAAGATGTTTTTTGCTGCCAGGTTCTGCCTCCCATTGCTTTAGCTCAGGGGTGGGCAACTGGTCCTTTTACAAGCTGTGGACTTCAACTCCCAGAATTCCTGAGACAGCTTGGCTGTCTCAGGAATTCTGGGAGTTGAAGTCCACAGGTTGTAAAAGGGCCACAGTTGCCCACCCCTGCTTTAAGTCAATATAGCTGTGGCATTACTGATGATTGTACTTAATTATTCAGTTCTTCTCACCAAGGATATATATCTAGTAATGTTATTATCCCATCTTTTAACACTTGGGAATAACACTGCCATTCATTTTTGAAATGAAGCATTAGTTTCCTCTTGTTGGCATCCCTGAGGAAAAGGCTCTTTATCAGGGATGCCGTAGCTATGCAGAATAAAAACAGAGATGGACAAAAGTGCAAGGGGAAGCTTCTAATTAACATTGCGAGGACATTTTGTAGAAAGAATTAATAAACTTAGAAATAAACTCTGAAAGCTCTTGGCCACTACTTATTGATATACAATAGTAGTATGTTAAATGTCTCTCGGAGCCTTAGTTTTAATTCTACTTGCAATTGACTGCAGAAAAGCAGTGCTAAAAAGACCTGGTGCAGAACAAACCCTAGTAAAATCTTTATAGTCTAATAAATTTTGCAGATTTAATTGCAAAACTGGCTAAAGGCTCTCTGCGCAGCTAAGTTTTGTTTTTTCTTTTTCTTCTCCTAATATGTGTGACATGGCCAGGAACAATGTAATATCAAACTTTCCCTTGAGAGATGCTGGAAGTCTAGCTCTTTTCTGTTTTCTGATCGGCATATATTTCTCTTTAATTCCTTCACAGAAATCCCTCCCTGAAGCAGCAGCTCTTCTCCTATGCCATCCTGGGTTTTGCACTCTCCGAAGCCATGGGGCTCTTCTGCTTGATGGTAGCATTCCTCATTCTCTTTGCCATGTGACAAAGCCAACATGCACTACTACATACTCTTCCTTTCTTCCCCCCCTGTGTTTAGTCTAATGTGTACGCTGAGCTGAGTGTTTTGTGGGAGAGAAGGGAAGCTCACCTGTTAACCAAATCCTCCCTGTTCACTGGGGGCAAGTGAATAAATACAGATTGGTATACATTTCCTGCTTTTTTTTTAGTGTGCATATTTGGTTTTGTAATAGACACCTGGTTCCAAATATTTTCCCCATGGGGTTAGTGATTGGGGGGGGAGTGGGAGGGTTGACCAGTGGGACACATTAATTCCATCTGATGATATCAGCCATTTGCACAGCATAATTGGATGTGTTCAGTGCCTCCAATAGATCATTGAAAATCCAGTAATGGCTGTAAGTTTGTTTTTTAGTTCAGTAATTTGCAATAAGTGTGAAATACCTAATCAGTAGCTCGATGCCATTACTTTTTATGAAATCTTAATTAATTTAACGAAGCTTGTCCTTAGTGTCATAGGATTGTAGCAATACTTATTAGTGCTTTTGCCGGCATGACTTTAGCTTGGAGCAGGATGTACAGCTTCTATGCAAGATACAGTTCCCAAGCCTCCTGTTTTGCTGCTAGAATGTATTAACAACTAGCAAATAACAATGAGACTCCCCATTATCTTTGTTGTTTTAAAAAGCAAAATAAGCATTTTACATGTTTGTTCCGCCTATTTTAGGCATAAGAAAAGTTAAAAAGCAAAAGGTAAATATTAAAAAGTCTTAACACCCATTAGAAACATCACTGCACCATCATCAGTGGCTAATTTTGGAGAAGCACTAGCTTCAGCTCAAGAATGCCTCCCCAGTTTAGGCAATCAGTATTTGTTTGTTTGTTAAGGAGGGGTAAGCATCTGAATAGCTCTTTCTAACTTTTGACAAACTTGCAGAATTTGGTTTTCTTGGTTCCAGTAAATTAAAACATGGCCAAGAACCAGCAGCCTTTGAAGTGTCTCTTTTCCTTTAAGAGTTAGTGCAGATGGGTGTGGGTGGGTGTGATATTTAGTTAACATGATGTTGCTGCTTGGAAGAACCCTGCTTAATTAGACTAAGGCTGATCAAATTTAGCATCCTCTTTTCTTCAAGAGGTAACCATATGCCTTTGGAGAAGGAAGCCTACCAATAGAACACAGGTGTAATGCCAGCCTCTCAGGTACCATAGGATATTGCAGACTTCTCTTCTCCCCATGGACTTCTAATGGATTTTATTCATAGACTGAATTCACAGTCATGCTAAACTATATCATTTCATTTTTAATTAGAGTTTGGAAACTTTTTTGAAGTATCCCATCTCAAGCTTGAAATAATTATTCCGACTTTATCTTCCAAAGGGTCTGACTAGCTATTTCAATCTTAAAACATTTCCATTAAGAGTTGTTTTCTCACATCTGTACAATTTGCTTAATGTTCTGTAAGAGATGGAGCTCCTTTAATAAATCATGGATATGGAAACTAGGTATAAGTCAATTGTGAATCCCACCCTTTGTCTTGGGTCCAGTTGTAGGCAAGGAGACCTTTTTGCATCCTGATCACCTGATCATTTTACAGTGGTTATCATCTAATTAAATCTTTGTTCTGTTTCTAAACCTCTGCGTTTCAGGTTAATACTCTTATATGGAAAAAAGTATTCTCAGCTCCTTTAATATCCAGATGTTTTAGATTACTTCAGCAATCTCCTATAGGGTGTGCTGAGTAGGATTAATAGAAGTTGAATTCCAACATATCTGGGAGGCATCGGATTATCTACTACTATTATAAGCCTTCTGGGTATTTTGGAAAGCACAGTGCAGGATTTTGACCTTACTTCTTATTTGAGCTTTGGCATATTTATTTAATCAAATTTACTAGCCACCCATCTCACAAAAATGACATACAATAATTGATAAAAACACAATACATATTTAAAAACAGGCATTTAAAAAAAAGAGATTAATTAACACTAAAATCTACAAAGCCCAAGCACAGAGAGAGAGAGTACATTCAACCTCAATAATGAAGCCACCTAAACAAGTCTCTGGTTCCCATGGAATAACCAGATCTTGAGGAACTTTCACAAAAGCGAGGAAGATGTTGGGGCGGGGTACGTCTATCACCGTCCACTGTATTAGCAATATGTATGATGACTCCAGAAGTCTGCAGTGTAGCTTTTTGTCATTGTAATAGAGCTTACTGAGGTAAAAAAAAAAATTGCCTTGATGCTTCAAGGATCTTAGAAGAAAGTTATGACGCTTATGGCCCATTATTGTAATGCTTGTATTTGTTTTTTAAAAGTCTGGGTTGTGAAGGTTCCATTCAGAGACAGGTCTGTTAGCTATTGAGAGAGAATTGGGGAAGATTAAAAAAAAATCAAATTTGGGAGAGGAAAAGAAATCACATGTCTTCTTCAATCCATTATTTGGTAATTAACTCTTTTAAGGTTAAGTACACAGTAAAAAAAAAAAAAAAAGTGCTCCCAAGACAGTATCATAGGGGCATGAAATGGAGCAGATCTGCCTTGCTGCTCATAGAAAGCTATCCCATGGGCCAAGTGGAAGAATCCGGAATTGCAATCCTTTTGGCTGCAGCACTGAACTCTTCATCTGCTTCTTCCATGTTTTTCTGTCTCCTAAGAATTAGGAAGAGCTTTCGGTTTTATTATTTCTCTGCCGTGGGATTTCCTCTCCCTTTTGCTTGCCATGTTCATGTTACAGTATATAACAGTGATGGCTAACCTTTTTGCCATCACGTGCCAAAAGTGGGGGGAGTGTGGGGGGGCGCTTGCGCGTGTGCCCACACCCATAATTCTATTCGCCCCCCCCCCCGCGCATGCATATGCGACCCCCCCCGTGCTCCCCCCACTTTTGACATGCAATGGCAAGGTAGGCCTGTTTTTCGCTCTCCCCAGGCTCCAGAGCCTTCTAGGAGGTTGGGGAGGGCAAAAATGGCCTTCCCCACTCCCCCAGAGGCCCTCCGGAGGCCGGAAACAGCCTTTCCTGACTTCCGGTGGGCCCAAAAGGCCCGAAAATCAGCTGGCTGGCACACGCACACACCAGAGCTGAGCTCGCGTGCCCACTGATTTGGCTCCACGTGCCACCTGTGGCACGCGTGCCATAGGTTCGCCATCACGGGTATATAAGAAAAGAAACGAATCTTGTCCAACATAATTTCATAATTTAGAATCCTATCCTTAAAAATAAAAAGGCATATAATCAATTACCAGGTTTTTTTTTTTAAAAAGAAGGATTGATCTAAACAAGCTAAAATGCTTTCAAAGGGGAAAAAAAAGAAAGAAAGAAAAAGAGGATGGTAGTCTTTCATCAGCTTCCTCAATACGTTTTTCAGCCTCGCTTCTCTTGACTAAAATGTTTTGCCTACGATTGTGCTGGGTGAACAAACGGCCCACAACTATTTTGGGAGTTCTTGGGAACCTGACTATTGACTAGGGTTGCTGCTGCTTGTCAACCCACAGCTGGTCCTGGCAATCTAGACTGGGGTTGCTAAGGAACTGACTGAGCTGCATATTACAGTTATGGCTGTGTTTTGGAAACTTGCTGCTGATGCCAACCTTACCATGGGTGGGGTGGGGATAGGGTGAGTGAACAGTAATAGTTAAACAATGAAGGGAACGCTAACAAGTATCTGAACTGAAGAAACATCATGTCTGAGAGTTGTCCTTAGTCTATGTAGGAGATAAAATAGAATAGTTAATGGACAATTTAATCTAGGACCAGATATTTTCCAAAAATGCTAGTAATAATGGAACTGCTCAACTTCTTATTCCCAGACAGAAAAGATTATAAAATGGGGCAAACTCACTTAACAAATGTTTCACTTGGCAACAGAAATTTTGGGCTCAATTGTGGTCGTCAGTTGAGGAGTACCTGTACTTAACAATGTTGAGGAAAAGAATGCATGCCACTAACTCCTGGATATGAGCTTGTCATTCATTCATCCATTTTAGCAGGAATAAAGAATGATTCCCTTCTTACTTGGCAAAAACTAGGAGTTGGTGTGCTCTCAAACTCCAGCCAGTGAAAAGGATGTGGGCATGCATCCATGCTGGGGTTTCTGCAGCTAGCAAAGGGGGAAAAAAGTAAATCCTTCAAGTAAATGCCATGCTTAAGCCTACCGTGTAATCAAACATTTATGCTTTGTGCTGCAGTACAAACAACCTGTAGGAGTTATACTAAAGACTCATAGGTAGGAAGCCATTTCAAGGATTGTCAGTTGCTTTGGTGGTAAAATATATACCATCAAGGTAGATGCAGCTTAACGGATGCTCTAAAAAAAATCCTTTCCTTACTCCTCATTTGTGTTGGGGATGTTTAATCACCCTTGTAATTTTGAGAAGGGTTTATGTAGGAGCAGCACCTGGGGGAAAAAAGTCTGGCAGCCTTATCTCGCCCCATGTTTTAAAGCTAGGCTGACGGCTGGATTGAGTGTGTACACTTGGGATCCTATACCAAAGAACAATTTCAAAACATTGTGTGCTGTGGGATAAGACTATTTCCAAAACAAGGGGACAGTAGAATTAAAAATAGTTTTTGCTTGTTTGCCTCTTTTCCTTTTGCCCTTTGTGGAAGGATGCTCATCTCTCTTGGAGTGATGAGTATCTATTATAATCAATATTTCAACATCTGGATGACCACATATTCCCCCATACCTAATATAAGCAACATTTTATCCCTTCACTCCAGCCAATTCAAACTTCCCCATCCCCTCTCAGGCATATAGGAATTCCTAACCAGCACAGGGATTCTGGGAACTGTAGTCCCGAGACCTCAAGATTGGTTGGGGAAAGAAAAGAAGGCTGTTTTCATCATCTCCAGTTGCCACCTGACCCTTTTGTTAAACAGTATATTTTTTGTGGACTGCTACTGCCACAGACAGCATCTATTCCTCGCATTTCAAAAGGGACAGGCTTATTTCAGTAGGAATGCCTGGAATATTTCCTAGACCACATGCTTTGTCAGCTGGCTCCTCTCGAGTTGTCTAGGTTGAGATATTTAACAGCCTGCAGAGACAAGATACATCTTAAACACCTGCATGGCTTCTACATTTAAGTAATAACAATGGCAGCAAATGCTATGTTGTTCGCTTATTGTAGTATCACTTGCTTAATCTTTTGTCAGTTTTGACATTTCACTCGCATAAGTTTTAACAACGTAATTATGACGCCCTTTTTAAAAGAATGCTAGATTCACTCTCCTGGTATCCCCCCCCCCCCCCACGCCCCAAATCCCCACAGCACTGAAACATTCAAGAAAAGCTTTGACTTTGTTGGTTTTAAATCAGGAAATATCTACCCATGTTGTGGCAGAAGTGGTCTGCCTTTCTGGCTGCAAGGTAGGCATATAGTCCTAGCTGGTAAGTTGGAGCAACATGTGATGTGTTTAATATTATGTCAAAGTCTACCAATGTTGGATATAAGTAGAATAATCCTTTGAAAGCCAAGATTATCCCGAGAGAACCAGTGTGGTTCTGGTGTTCTCTTCATTCACCGATAGAATAATTGTTTGGTGGAGTCAACAGGCATTAGGATTCTCACAAGATGGGAGGTGTTGAGGTATCTCTGTCTTTATTGCAGACTTGAGTATCAGAGAGATCCTTAGGCAGTTTCCACTAATCATACAGATGAAGCAGTCATCTTTACCTCACATGAATAATAGAAGATAGCATGCAACCAAACCAATGTAGGTTCATTTCTTGCCTTGATTTTTCAGAGTATATTAAGTGAACAAAACTTCAGTGTTAAGATTATTTTAGGATTTATGCTTGCCTTTTAAAGGCTTCCCTGCTCATTGTTATGGGATATCAGCTTGCTGATTTGGGGGCTATCTGAAGAGTGCTTCAGGGGTCACAGGTTGCTCTCCTGTGCATTAGATCAATAATAAAGAGGTAACAGAGTTGAAGAGAGGCAAGCCTCCACTGCATTTGTTTCAAATTGAATTACATTATGAATTTGTTTACTGTCACTGCAGTGATGCTGGCTGTATACATTAAAAGATGTGATCTACAGCAAGTAAAAATATGTATGGGCACCTCTTATTTTCACGCTTGATAAATAACTTATGAACCGATGGTGTTGAGAAACTTCATGTATGAGTGCCTTAGCGTTGACCTCAATGGTTTCAATGGTTGCTTCCAACTCTGGTTTCAGGGTTTTTTTATCCATGTGTGAATGCTGTATTTGTACTATACATCCGATTAGCTTACAGAGCAGTTTGATCAATTGGTGTGTGGCGTGACCCATCCAACCATGGTTTATTCAACAAACAATGGTTAAGCAAATTATACTTTGGCATAATGTGCATACTTAGAGTTTGGATCAGTCTAAGGTGGAAATCCTAAAAAAGTAATTCACAGGGAGTAAATCCAACCGAAGTTGGTGTACTCATGCAATATCTTGGTTTTAAACTAAATTGTGGTTGGTTTGTAGCTCAAACTAACTACAAAGTTGTGTCAACCCAGCCATTTTGTACCAGATTTACATAACTTGCTGTATGTTAAAGTGAAAACAGCATTACATAAACAAAACATTTGACATAAGGTGAATCAGTGGTAGGATTCAAAAAAATCTACTGCCGGTTCTGTGGGCGTGGCTTGGTGCACGTAGCGCAGGAAGGATACCGTAAAATCTCCATTTCCTCCCCACTCCAGGGGAAGGTTACTGCCAAATCCCCATTTCCTCCTGATCACCTGGGACTTGGGAGGCAGAGAATAGATGGGGGCGGGACCACTCAGAGGTGGTATTTACCAGTTCTCCGAACTACTCAAAATTTCTGCTATTGGTTCTCCAGAACTGGTCAGAACCTGCTGAATACCACCTCTGAGGTGAATATTAAGTAAAACTAGGCAACCTATCTATTTCATTGGGTCACCTTTTCAGAGATATTTCCTTACCTAAATAGAGAAACAGAATGACTATGGACAGGCAAAAAAGCAGTGGGAGCAGGAATGACCTCTGAGTTCCTGCTGGCTTTCCCATTGACTTTTCTTGTGGGAAGCTAACAGGGTACACTGGAAATCAGGATCACAGGACCATGGTTAACCATGTTGCAGCAGCCACAACTTTACAAATGCAATTGGTATGAAAATCCTTGAAATTTCAATTATATAGGAATAATGGGTCCCAGATTTTGTACACATTCTTTGCTAGTTGAAGGTTATAAAAAACAGGAAAGTTTTGGAAATGGAAGCATACAAAACTTTCAGGCACCAGAATGAGTATATAGTACAGTGATGGCGAACCTTTTTGGCACCGAGTGCCCAAACTGGAATGCACATGCATGTGCGCCTGCTGTAGTGCCAGAAACCAAAAACGGCCCAGAAAACAGTCCAAAAAACAGCCTGAAAACTGCCTGGAAAACGGCCTGGTTTTTTGGCCGTTTTTGAGGCAGTTTTCCAGCACTCCAGCAACACTGGAAAAGTCCCACCGGAAGTTGGGAAACGGGCCATTTCTTGCCTCCGGGGGGTGGGGAAGGCCATTTTCGCCCTCCCCAGATTCCTAGAAAGGCTCTGGAGGCTGGGGACAGCAAAAAAACGGGCCATCCCCACCACCACCACCCCAAGGCCCTTGGAGGCAGAAAACAGCTGTTTCCCTACTTCTGGTGGGCCCAGAAGGCCCGAAAATCAGCTGGCATGTGCCAGAGCTGAGCTCACGTGCCCACCAATATGGCTACGTGTGCCACCTGTGGCACGCGTGCCATAGGTTCGCCATCACAGATATAGTAGAACAATTTTCTCAGATAGATTCCTACAGATGTCTTAACATACAGAGGTTAGGTTAGGGAAGACTGCACTATAGTAACAACCCAATTTTTGGTTGATTGTTCTCTTTCGTCCACCTTGTAATAATGAATCTTTTGGAATTTGCAATAAATTACAGATAGGCATAAAATTATACATTACTTGAGTTAATCCATGTAGCTGATTAAGTATAATATCTTTAACTTATACTTAAATATGACTTTATTTGTTAAACCAGAGGATATAAAAGACTGCACAAGAATGAAGAAGCAAGCCAATATACACATCATCAATCATTTTAATGCAAAACAAGTAATCTTCCGTTGACTGGAGTTAGCATGGAAAAAAGTACACAAAGGGAACCAATCTCAAGAAGAGAAGTTTTTTCAGTGGATTTATTACTTGCATTTATGTTGGCTCTTTCTCCAGTGAGCTCTAAGCAGTGCAATGGTTCTTCCTTGTTTTATCCTATAAATAACCTATAAATAAGCTGAAAGACAAAAGCTGGGACTGAATAAGTTTAGCCATGCTTAATTCAGTCTAAGCATCCAGGTTTTCATAGCATGTTGAACCATAAACTTATGTTTAAAAGTTGGAATTGGTCAATATAGGTTTTATAAGTATAAATTCAGCCAGTAATTGTCCTAGGGCAGGGGTGTCAAACTCAAGGCCCATGGCCCACATCCAGCCTGTGGGGTGTTTAGATCTGGCTTGCAGGGCTGCCCTGGAAACAGCAAAGGACTGGCCCGCAGTGCCTCTGCCAGCAAAAACAGAGCTGGGGGGGGGGTTGTGTGCAGCCCTCCTGTGCCCCGTTTTCGCTGGCAGATGGTTGCAGGAGGCTGTTACAGGCAAAAACGAAGCTCGGGAGCCCGTTTTCACTGGCAGAGCGCTCAGGCCGCCACAGATGCCCCTGACATGAGTGACGTTGAGCTGGCCACGCCCACGCTGGCCCACCGAGGTCAAACACAACCTACATACGGCCCTCAATGAAATCAAGTTTGACATCCCTATCCTAGGGTCTATCAGATAGCTGGGTAGACAACTGAATCCAATTCCTCAATCTTTTTAGATGAGGTTTAGATTCAGATACTGTTTAATTCATTGTTTACTTAACTTAAGTTTATTGTAGCCATAACTGGGTTCACACATCAAGCCATATTTCATAATTTGCAAATATCACTTCACACAAAACACAAAAATGAAAGTAATTATAGGGTTTAATGTGATGACCAAAAGCACTCTAATTTAGAGTTTGGTAACTTACACCTGACCAGGTATTACTGTTTGAATTATCCCTCACTATTGACCATAGTAGCCGATTTACAGTTGATCATAATGGATGGAAACTAATCAAAGAGCGAAGCAACCTAGAACTAAGGAGAAATTTCCTGATGATTAGAACAACTTATCAGTGGAACAACTTGCGTCCAGAAGTTGTGAATGCTCCCAACACTGGAAGTTTTTAATAGCAATAGCACTTAGACTTATATACCACTACATAGTGCTTTTACAGCCCTCTCTAAGTGGTTTGCAGAGTCAGCCTATTGCCCCCAACAATCTGGGTCCTCATTCCACCTCAGAAGGATGGAAGGCTGAGTCAACCTTGAACCTGGTGGGGTTTGAACTGCTGAACTGCAGCTAGCAGTCAGCTGAAGTAGCCTGCAGCACTGCGCTCTAACCACTCTGCCACCTCAGCTTTAAGAAGAGATTGGACAACCATTTGTCTGAAATGGTATAGGGCAGGGGATTGGACTAGAAGACCTCCAAGGTCCCTTCCAACTGTTATTCTATAATTAATATCTGAGGGATATAATTCTGCAGTCTCTGTGATAATTGGATTGTTTAAAAAACCTGTCTCATCTTGATAGTTGTAAATTAACATGCTTTTATCAGCAAAATTTTGGTCCTTAAATCCAAGTTAAAGCAGCAGAATCGTGAAGAATTTTTATAAATAAAAGGTAAAGATAATAACTTCCTTCCATCAAGCTCAACCTCTGGTTCATGCCCACGCAGTTTTCTTGGTGACACTACATAAATGGATTACAGCTGCCTTCTGCAAGCTCCTTCTCCCGATGGCCTCCCATCCAAGTATTAATTCTGACTCTACTTGGCCTTTTCCAGATTGGCCACGTTCAATCAGATACAAGAATCTGCTGTGGGGTGCTAACAAATAAGAACATTAAATACAGCATGGTCAAGAGCAAAGGACTCTTGATTATGTCTTAATTATGGCAATTCCTCCAATCCTGCAGCTGTAACTCTGCAAATGATATAGACAGTAACTACTTATCTGGAAATAAGGCTACAGGAGATTTATTGATTAAATGCATTGGGAACATGGTCAGTGTTTGGTCCACGCTTACGGCCTTCGACCATTCTTCTGTGTCTTCCATCTTTGTGTGTGTGTGTATATATGTGTGTATGTGTGTGGTGTGTGTATATACACACACATATTGCACAGTATATCATGCACACATACACATGATTCTTGACTAATGTATTTTATTTTTTCTTTATGTACACTGAGAGCATATGCACCAAAGACAAATTCCTTGTGTGTCCAATCACACTTGGCCAATAAAAGTATTCTATTCTATTCTATTCTATTCTATTCTATTCTATTCTATTTTATTCTATTCTATTCTATTCTATTCTATTCCATTCTCACACGTACATGTGGGTGAAATGGCTGAGAATGAAAAAGACGGAACACACAGAAGAATGGTCCAAGGCCGTTAAGTGGACCAAACACTGACCATGTTCTGGATGGAAAAACGACTAAACCAACCTTCCCTGACTTACCGTCTTTTAGTTGGCCATACCAGGCAACTTTCTCAGCCGGCACCTGGAGGGCGCCAGATTGGAGAAGGATGCAGGAATAACTTCGTCTCGAGGGTCGGGCAGCTCGAATTCTACTGGCGTGCCTCGCGCGCACAGGCGCCCGCGCGCTCTCCCTTCCTCCCTCCCCAACCCGGGAGTTGAGCGGCGGGAAGCAGCACCCAAGTCCAGCAACTTGTTCCCCTCAGCCGCCGCCGCTGCTTCCCCGCCCCCTCCCCCTCCCCCTCCCCCCGCCCCATGCTCAGCACCACCTTGTTTTTCCTAATCCCGCCCACCCTCTCCTTCATTGGTTTTACGATCCTGTGGCCCCGCCTCCTTATCAAATCTCGCGAGGATCTCTGGTGCTCAGAAAGCGGCGCGGGGGGGGGGCACCGCAATCCACCACAGCGAGACTTGGGGGCTGTCGCTGGAGAGTAGGGAAGAGTCCCGTTAGTGTCGGCGCCAGGCGGAGGGGCACGGGGACTTAAAAGGGGAGAGGGAGCTCGGTCACTTTCCCTCCTTTCTCCCCTCGCGAGGTGAGTGTCTTCCGTTGCTTCTCAGTTTCTCCCCGTTCTCTAACCTCCTCCTCCTCCTCCCCTCAAGAAAAAAACCTAACTCCTCCAAGACTTGTGAGATGGGGTTCCGCCTGGCGGTGATTGGCAGCTCTGCCGCGTCAATTAGCGCAGCGGTCGGGAGGAGTGTTGGGCGACTCGGCTAATCAGAGCGTGAAGCTGCAGCCGGAGCCCGCCTCCTTCCCTGGATGTGGGCGGGACTTCGGGGGCTGTGAGGAAGCTCTGAGAAGGGGCCCGGGCGGTGGCCAGGAGGAGGGGGGCGCGCGCCCAGGAGTCGGAGTGATGATGGGCGCGCGAGAAGGGAAGAGTTGGGAGCAGCCTGGGTGGGTGACCCGCGGGTGTGCTTCTCGCACACGTGTATGGATAGGGTGTGTGTGTATGTATATGTGTGTGTATGCGTGTGTATGTGAGATATATAATATATAACATTACATTACACACACAATACACACACAATACACACACACACACATATACATGCATACATACACCTATATCTCTATCTCTATCTATCTATCTATCTATCTATCTATCTATCTATCTATCTATCTATCTATCTATCTATCTAGGCACCTGGTCTATCCCAACATGTGGGAGGGAGCATTCTGCTTCCCTTTCGCCTTTCAGCTCCAGTGTGTGTGTGTGTGTGTCTGTATACACACACACACATGCATGTGGGTGAAATGGCTGAGAATGAAAAAGACAGATAGTCCAGGGGCTGAGGTTTATGAGAGGGAAAAACAGCATCATCCTGAAGGAAGGGGAGCTGGGTGGCGTTACAGCTCTTGCAAAGACTTAATGGAAGATATACATCCCAATAGAGAAACGCTCACCCCCCCCCCAACCCTCCTCTCTCACCAAACATATTGGGAGATTGTTGTACAGTATACTAAAACAACAAGAAGGATGACTTGTTGTTCAAGGCTTAAAAGATGATGCAGAGTCAGTGAATAGGTGTTGGAAAGGCCTCCTAGATCAGTCTGGAAAAAACTTCGGTATTTGATGCCCAAGAAGATTATGCAAAAAACTGCAGCTGCAAGTTCCTTTGGACACACCTATGAAATAAAAATAGGGGTAGCAAGTCTCCCAACTTCTGTATGCTCTCCTGGGTAGTGTAGTTGATGGAGAAGTTGCCGGACTGCCCAGAGGGAATCAATAAGTGAATAGCGATTGCTGTTCCTTGCTGTGATTATTTGCCTGATTGTCCACGAAATATCTATTTCCATTTGAATGTCCAACCCTTTTGAGAGGAAATGGGGTATCCATAATGCCATACAAAATGGGTTAGGAATGGGAAAAGTGTACAGAGATGGCTTCTCCTGGAAGGACTGCTGTTTTGCCTGTTTTCAACAGGCCAAAAGGGAAGAGTGTTGCTTGTAGGAGGTGACCCCCCCCCCCCTAAAAGTGGTGCTACTCTGCTGGTACTAGTTCACCTCCTAATAACCATCTGCATCAATAACCCTTCTTCAGCCTCATCAAATGAGATTTCCCCATAAGAGAAAGGCCTCACATTTTGTATTACTAGCAAAGTGTTGCTCCTCAGCTGTTTAAGGACATAAGATAAATGACTATGAGATAGCAAATGTTTGCTCACCTGAACAAGAATTGTTGTTGTTGCGGAAAACTGCTGTAAACTAAAATCTTATCTTTGGATTGTACAGCAGCTGAGTAGCTCCGTCCACCATGACAGGTGTCTTTTGAGCTGCTGCTCCTGATTTTTTCTTATAGAAAGGGTTAGGGCTAGTAAGAAAGTGGTGATCACTACTTTTTAAAAATAACACTCACCTGCCAACTTTGAATGGGGAGGAGGAAGTGATGCTTGTGTCGTGATATCTGCCAGTAAGGCAGTCTAGTGGAATGGATAAACATGTGGTTGTGACAGCATAGAGTGTTGATGGTTGTTGCTTTGCAATGTCAGCTAGTTAACTGAGAGTGACATCATTTAAATTAAGCCAAATTTATTTAATATTTTTAAATTATTTTAAATTGATGTTTATTCTGTTTTTAATTAGGCTGTACACCGCCCTGAGTCCTTCGGGAGAAGGGCGGTATAGAAATAAAATTATTATTATTATTATTATTATTATTATTATTATTATTATTATTATTGGGACCACAAAGTTCTGTGGCCTTTGGCAGCAATCCAGTGACACCAGCTAGAATCATCAGGGAAAAGATAGTGTCCATTTGGGAACATTAATTCCATCTTTGTCAGCCCCTTGAGTTGAGTGCAGACATTATTTTCTTTTAAGTAATGTTGGAAGTAGATTATTCTTCCTGAATGACTGTGTCAAAAAATTTTCATAGTATAGCATGCTTTATTTCACATCATCAACATTGTCCTAAAGCATTAACTTCACTTGATTGGTTTGTTTATCTGAATCTAACTGGGGCAGTGACTGACTGGGCTGGAGCTAAAAAAATACTATACAGATAGTCCTTGACTTATGACCACAAATGGGACCAGAATTTCCATTGTTAAGCCAAGGTGGTTGTTAAGTGAGTTGTGCCAGATTTCATAATCTTTTTTGCAATGGTTGTTAAGCAAATCACTTCAGTTCTTACGTGAATCATGAGAACGTTTGGTGAATCTGGCTTCCACTGTTGACTTTTCTTGTCGGAAGCCAGCTGGGAAGGCTGCAGACGATGATTATATGACCCTGGGACAGTGCAGACATTGTAAATACATGCCAGTTGTCAAGCACCTGAATTTTGATTACATGACCATGGAGATGCTGTTGGGGTCGTAAATGCAAGTCACTTTTTTCAGGGCTGTTGTAACTGAACAGTAGTTAAATGAATGGTTGTAAGTCAAGGCCTACCTGTACAATCTTTGAAAATACATTTTCAATATGCATAACTGGTTTAGCAACAGCTTACAGTATCCCCAATGATACAAAAGATACTTTGTAAAAAAAAAAAATCCAAAATATGCGCATTGCCCTACTATCTTGCTTGAAAGTGCTTTCATTTCAGGTGGCAGTAATTGCAGCTTGTTTTGTTTAGAATAATACATGATATATCTGTGGCTTATTTTAAGAGCGCCAGATGCTTCACAAAGAATTGTAGTGACAACAGCTGTGTAGGAAGATTTTCTAATCTAGTCTGAATAGCTATTAAGAAAATGAAGAATAGTGGTTTCCCTATAGCTGCATCGTCAACTTTCTGTAATACAACGTTTGAAAAATTATGGATTTACATACTGACTTACAGCCATTGAATTAACATTACTTTTTGTCTTGTAACTTCGTATGTTGGTGATTATGTTAAACTGAAATTCCACATGGGAAAGCAAATTATTAATAAAGAATAAAAATGGTCAAAATTGAGAAGTGTAATATTTATATTAATATCGCGACAAGTTCCTTTGCTGACTGAAGTTAGAGGAAGCAATTTGTAATCAATTTTCCTGAGCCTTTCATCCTTCCAAGGTCAGTAAAATGAGGATCCAGATTGTTGGGGGCAATATGCTGACTCTGTAAACCGCTTAGAGAGGGCTGTAAAGCACTGTGAAGCGGTATATAAGTCTAAATTCTAGTGCTATAGTGGCACAAAAATCTTAAATTGTATAGTAGAGTGTTTCATCAAATGCTTTATCATTTGTTATGTCCTTGTAATGAAAATAAATACTTCGCTTCAAATAACAGAGATGGGCTTTGTCGGAATATTATTAAACTTACCTTATATTTGCAAACTATGGGAGAACATGACACTATGGCAGGGGAATGAAGAGGCGATATTCCTCTTTCATAATATCTTACTCCTTGCAGAATTTTCAGATATTGGGATTTCTCAATTATAGAATTGGAAAGGGTAATCAGATACTAAATTCTATCCAGATGCAAGGCTGTGTCCTTGACTATAGAGGACTAAAAAGCTAAGAATTTTCTTGTTAGCACTGAAGCCATTTTGGGAGCATCTTGAGGGCTGTAACAGCAAGGCTGGGGGATGGACGGTGGACGTAAGCGGGGAGGTAGAGATAGCTGGGGGATGTGTAGCCAAAATAACATTCTTTCTCATGGAAGCCAAGGACGCTTTGCCAGGTGTTGGAAGGGTGTGGACCAAAGCCAGCTGGAGTTGGGACTACAACCTGATTGGACCATGTGATGGACATGTGACCTGGAGGGCAAGAACTTTGGGCTTTGATTTGGGTGGGGAAACCCTGGGTCCTGCAGAGTCGGGTTTTCACCAGCTGTGCCAAATTGATATCCCAAATAAACTTTTGCTTTGAGGAAACTCTAGGCCTCAAGAGTTTTTATTGTTTTGGGGTTATTACTTGGAACCCTGACATCTGTGATGCCTTATTGGCTATAGGTCTTAAGTATTAATTTTTCCCTGACAGTTGGCCCTGATATTAGCATATGTTGATTAAGTATATTGATGTCAAAGTTTTCTCACATTGCAGCATTAAATCTTGGCTAAATCGAAGTGAAATTACTCAAAACTTATGAAAATTGTGGAAGAAAAAAAAAAGATGATTTGATTCAAGATGTTTCCTCTGTACTTAGCCACTTCTTTTGCTAAGAACTTCATAAAAAAGCACTGTGATGTGACAGAACTGTTTGAGAGCATTGGGTATAATGAGGCTGATAAATATATTGAACTGTCTTTGGGTAGAAATTAATGTACTGATTTCCTAGCAAGTATTAAGTACGTTTTATTTGTGAATCAAGCATTGTAGACGTGTTGGTTGTGTGTGAGGACTTGAAAGTGCACTTTTGTAAAGTTTTGTAGTTCTGAACCCTTAATACAACAAAATAATGGGAATAATGGAAAAAGTGTCCATTAATCCAAATATTGAATGGCATATATAAAATGATCAACCTGTTTTATTCCATTAGTCTGCTAAAATGAAGTTCAGTAAATTAAAGGTTTACTATAGTAAACTCATCTTCTGGTAACTATATGAACATATCCATGTTGCTTTCTTGCATTATGGAAGTAGTTTCCTTTGCCTTCTTCCAGACCTTTGAAGTTATTTTTTAGTGTGACTTATCATTATCTTCCCTAACCTAAGTACCTTCTTAGTAGCTAGCTTTCCAGTTTCCAGAACTCCTAATAGGTGTATTTGCTGACACATTTTTTAATAAAACATTTTTTATTTTATTTATGTATATCCTGCCTTTATTATTTTTACAATTAACTCAAGGCGATGAACATACCCAACATACCTTCCTCCTCCTATTTTTCCCACAACAACAACCCTGTGAGGTGAGTTGGACTGAGAGAGAGGGAGTAGCTCAATGTCACACAATTGGCTTTCATGGCTAAGATGGGACTTAAACTCACAGTCTCCTGGTTTCTCTCCTGGTGCCTTAACCAC